GATGAGGATTCGAAGACAGAGAGAGGTTATGATAAACTTAAAATTTTGAAATGGAACTGATCACCTGGCCTAGCTCTGAGGACACTAGCCTTCAGCACTGTACTTCAGTTCCAACTTCACTGTTATTTATTTCCTTAATTTTAATGGAACATACACATATTATTTGAACAAACATTCTTCTAAAAGTCACTATACTGTAATTATTACATTTTATTATTTCTAAAAATTATTTTAAAAAGTTTCAATCTTAAGATACATCTTAAATGTTCGTGGTATAAATATAGGAACATTTTTAAAGTTTCCAAATGTTTTACTCATAGGATTAACATATGTGTATATATATATACACACACACATATATATGTATGTTGATATTCATTTAGCTTGAAATTAAGAAGATATCTTTCATGACAGTCTTTCTTCTACAACTTTGAAGAATTATCATCTATTCAGCTTCTGTTACTATGTTGATGTCTATAATCAATTTCTTTAAAGAAAATAATTATTTTGACTTTACAGTTTTAGAGATTACAATGCGTGCTGGGTTAGTTCTGGTGTTTTATGGCCTGTTGCAGGATATCATACTGTAATTGGGTATTTAAGGAAAATCAGTCACTTCAGGCCTACAAAACAAAACAAAAAATCAAAGAGAATCTTCCACTATACTACCCATTTATCAACACTGTTACAACTATACCATCCAGTATTAATCAAGATGCTTTCTGGCAGGCCATAATTCTTACAGGTCCCACCAATTCCCAACACATCTAGCCTGGGAACAGAGCTTTGAACACATGGATAACTGAGTGAGATTCAAGGTCCAAATGGTAACACCTATGAAAAGAGACCACTACCATTAGCAGTAGATTGAAAAAAAAAGGAATCATGTAGTATATTATCACACTATATTAGTTACTTGTCTTGTTGTGGTTTCCATATTCTCACAAGATATAACTCAGTGGACATGTATATTTTGGCTCACAGTTTCAAGGTTTACTCCATTTTGATGGGGAAGTCATGGCTTCAGGAGCCTGAAGTGACTTGTCAAACTGACCTATCAGGAAGCAGAGATGAATGCTTCAGCTCTGCACACTTTCTCCTGTAAGGGTCTGAATATTGCTGATGAAGACCCCAGACTTATATAGTATGCAAAAACGAAGAGCGTTTGTTCTGTGGAATCAACCAGCATTCAAGGTCAACCACTTATATAATAAAGTGACCATGAAAGAAGCAAGCAGGTTCCTTTTGAGCATAGTTAGGGGAATTCTAGAAACAATTAGGTCATCTTAAATATGATTAGTTAAACAAGCAGAAGTTATATTAGCACATTTTTGATTGGCTGAGGTTTCAGTTTTTCCATCTTTGAACATGGCTGGGCAAGTCTGGGCACATTTCAGGGGGATTACAGGCACTGTCCTTTTTTGATTTTCTTCTTGAGATACTGTGGGGCCTGTCTCAGATCTTCTACTGCTGTGGATATGGCTCTATATAAATAAAACACTGATTGGCCAGTAGCCAGACAGGAAGACTAACAGAGAGGAGAATTGAGGGAACAGGAAGGCAGAGGGGAGATTGTCTGGAGCTGCCGCCAGGACAAGGAAGATGTAAGGTACCCAGTAAGCCACGAGCCACATGGCAAAGTATAGATTAATAGAAATGGGCTAAGTATAAGAATAAGAGCTAGACAATGATAGGCCTGAGCTCATGGACAAGCAGTTTAAATAATGTAAAAGTCTGTGTGTTTATTTTATAAGTGGGTTCCGGGACTGGCAGGACTTGGCAGGAGCTGGAGAGAAATTCTCCAGCTACATTTTACATGCCCTCTCCCTCATCCCTTCTGCCAGGAGTACTGTTGATTAATGATTCTTTGTTTGAAATAAACCTTGTTTGCACTTAAGAAACTGAATCTTAGATCTGATTGTAAAATAAGGAAGATTGGCGCTCTCTCTCCTATTCCCCCAGCCTAGGGAATAACACCACCCATTTTAGGTTGGATATTCTAATGTAATATGGATCAACTCTCACAGCCATGCTCCTTAGGGTTTATTTCCTAGGTTATTCTAGATCCTGCCAAGTTGACAATCAATATGTATTACCATGTATACATATACCATGACTTAAGAGTTGTTAATGTTGAACTGTTACTTAAAGTTGTTATTTGAAGAAAATTCTTAGGTAGGGAATGTAATGCTGCACACCTGCTCTGAGGATCCATGACTGGAAGGCTTGAGTAAACTTAATTATTTTTTATGGATTTTGTAATCATTAGGTATCTTCAATTTAATCTTCCTTTCCTCCTAGTATGCAGAGCTTGATTCTTCATTCCATCATTGCATTCTTCAAAAGAAGGAGTATTATGTGCCAAAAATCCTAACATGATATTAACACTTGATAAATACTAAGTAAATAATAATTACAAATTCTGAATGCTTCTAATCAAAAATACACAATACAATTTCACTATTATATGTTATCATTTTAAAAAATCTATGAATAACTTATTGAAAGAGTTTGCTGAGGAATAATGTTTTTAAATGATTCTTTCTGGTATGTGGCTGAAAGCAGTCTCCAGTGGATACCTGTGTGTATGAAACTTCAGAATCTCTCTAATCTGAGCATAGTGTAGATTTCAGTACAAAACAAAGCAAGAAGTAACTCCTTTTTAAAAAAGATGCATTGATACTCATATTAGTTTAATGAATCCAAAGAAGACATAAATGCATATTGCTACTCTTAAAGTATTTTGAAAGTAAAATATTCACAAATTTGTTAATATAGAATTCATCAAGGTTTGATCTAATCATAAACTTACCATTACATGTTACCATGTTTTATTGACTGCATCCACTGTTTCCTGGTCCCGTCAAAAATTCTATGTGTTAAGTCCTGGTGATAAAGGGGCTATATATACCATGGCGGCTTAATCAAGAAATGTACCTTTCATTAATGATATAATTGAATGACGGAGACTAACAAATTTCATGGGGAACTTACCTGCAATAGGTCTGTTTCTTTATATGTAAGAAGTTAAGATGATGTCCATACTGTGTGACAAAACTTTTCATGCAGAGATGCAATACACAAGTCTCCTCTCCACAGATAGGGAACCCACCACAGATCAAAGTCCAATTTGGTGGACCAGTTAGTTTTATTGGGGTTACTTACAGGAAAGTGAGTGAGGGGTTACTTACAGGAGCAGAAATGACTCAAAGACACATCCATCACCAAAGTCCACCCTCAAAGTGAAAGACCCCCGAAGGTAGTCTTCCCTCTAGAGAGACCCTCGCCCAGAGATCACACCGAGACCATAAGTCAGATGCAAACAGCAAGAGGCTTTATTCAGGAACACGGGTACCCGGGGCAACACAGTCCCTCAAGAGGCTCAAGAGACTGGCGCGCCGACGGGCTGGAGTGGAGGGTTTTTATAGGGTCGGGCAGCAGGAGCACGAGGAGCATGGTTTACAGGGTTCTGATTGGACGATTCAAATGAGGCCAGGTTCAAACTCAGGACAGTTCGTGGTTTTTCCCCGAGCTCGACATGCCTGCTGACTTGGTTACAAGTTGTTTTTCTGACCTTTAGTACCCTGTTCTGGGGCCAGGTGGCCGACCGTAGATACCCCGTTTGTTCCTGTACCCATGTCCTCTAACTGAACTTTCCCCGTGCTTTTCAGGCCTTACTCGAAATGGCGTTAGGCTAAGCTAGTATGCTGGGGTGCATCCACTGTTTCCTGGTCCCGTCAAAAATTCTATGTGTTAAGTCCTGGTGATAAAGGGGCTATATATACCATGGCGGCTTAATCAAGAAATGTACCTTTCATTAATGATATAATTGAATGACGGAGACTAACAAATTTCATGGGGAACTTACCTGCAATAGGTCTGTTTCTTTATATGTAAGAAGTTAAGATGATGTCCATACTGTGTGACAAAACTTTTCATGCAGAGATGCAATACACAAGTCTCCTCTCCACAGATAGGGAACCCACCACAGATCAAAGTCCAATTTGGTGGACCAGTTAGTTTTATTGGGGTTACTTACAGGAAAGTGAGTGAGGGGTTACTTACAGGAGCAGAAATGACTCAAAGACACATCCATCACCAAAGTCCACCCTCAAAGGAAAAGTATCAGCTCAGGACGCCCAAGATTGAGTTCTGAGCACAGAGGAGATTTATTTTCCAGAGGGACAGAGGGCAGAGATGAAGACAGAAGATACAGGACAAGGGAGAAAGAGAAGAGAGCAAGGGAAAGGGGGCAGGGATATTTGTCTTGGAGGGACAAGGCACTGTCTCGGAATAGAGGGGAAACAGATGTAGCACACAGGAAAAATGGCAGTTTGTGAAGGTGCAAGAAGGAATCCTGAGTTAGGCTGAAGTGTTTAATTTTAATTAGGCACGTTAATTAGGTGAGCGAAGGGGAGCTTTTGATTGCTAGATTTTAATACTTTGATAGCTGGACATTGTTAGTCAGCTTCAGGAAGAGGAAGTGGCCAAATAACGGAACAGATCTTTTTGGCTAGTTTTAGGAATGTAATCTAACGTTTTTTCATTAAGGCAGAGGGAATGGAGGAGAAGGGCAAGGCCTTCCTGAGCCACATTTGTCAGGACCGGGCTGGCTAGAGTCCCTTAGCACCCCAACATAGGTGACAGCTCACAAAGCTGGGAATCTGGAGCGCACTGCATAGCCTGAAGGCCGCTGGACAGGTTAGAGAGTGTCATTTACCAGTGCATCAGTCTAAACATCGCCCAGGTAGTTTGCCTCGTTTCTGCTTCTTTCAGACTGCTAGTCTAGTCTCAATATTCTTTGCAGCTTTTCCCCTCTGAAAGACTTCGGAGCAGCCCAGCTTTCGCTTTCTTTCGTCTGAGGGGGTTGTTTACTTTGGCAGGGAGGGGCCTAGTGATTCTGGTAAATTTCAGGGACTATTTCAGGAAGCTATTTTTAGTTGCTTGCCTTGTTTAAGAAGCTTCCCTACAGCATGAAATGTTTCAATCCTGGAGGAAAATGTTACACAAGAGCCGGAGTCTCTTGCATTATTCCAATGTTGAGAGGCAGCTTAGCTCACAGGACATACAGAGATTTGCTCATTTGCTGTGTTGATTCAGAGTTGAATACTGTGGTGGATTGTCCTCTGACTTCTTGTGTCAAAGTTTGGTCTCTGAAGGGCTCTAGCAGGCCTGAGAATGGTCAGCACAGTCCTGACTCTGGCAAACTTGTTTCAGACAGGGAAGAGACTTGTGGAGACCTGCCCCACCAGGAACTTAGGTCCCCTGTGAAGAGGTGGCCTGGAACTGAGGAAAGGTAAGTGTGTACTGCTCGCCTGTTCCCCAGCCTCCCTCTTACCTGGAGACAGTCAGCTGCAGTGGGGAGTCAAGTCAAGCAAGAACTTTATTGTTAGGCAGTAGGCCTCTTTTATAGCAAAAACCTCAGAAGCCTCGGAGGGGGTGAAGGAACCAACCAATCACTTTGAAGGTCACCCTATTTACAAATTGTTTATGCACTGACATCATCTCCTGTTTTTAGTATCTTATCTTAGCATAAATAACTTGAGCTAACTTCCTTCCTCACCATTTGTCTCTAATCTCCATACAAACAACCCAAGCTAACTTCCTCTCAGCCATCCTTTGTATCTAGTCCCTGCATAAACAGCTTAAACTAACTTCCTCTGGTACCGTTTGTATCCACTCTCCGTGTAAGCAGTTTAAAGCTTAAGCTCTATTTGTCTAACTTCCTCTAGGCACCCTCTTTGTAGCCCGTGTATGCTGCACAGAGACTCTGGCCAGCTAGAGAATGGCAAGCATGGCTCTGGCAGACCTTGTCCTCTCCCATTCCCTTTGCCTTGATTAAAACTGTTAGATTCCATCCCTGAATCTAGCTAGACTCAAGATCTGGTCCCTTATTTGGCCACTTCCTCCTCCTAAGGCTGACCACCAATGTTGCGCTGTCAAAGTATTGAAATCACACAGTCAAAAGCTCCTTTTGGCTCACCTAATTAGCATGACCAGTTAAAATTAAACACTACATCCTAACACAAGGTTTCTGATAAGTCTTTGCACCCTGAAGGCCTCTCCACTGACACAGCAAACCAAATCAGACTGAATCAGGAAAAGTCCAGGTTTAATGGGTAAAGCATTCCTGGGTGATTGCCAGCCTCTCAGAGAGGAGAAGGGACTGAGAGGCCTGAAGATCATGCGTCTGTTTTCTGGGATGTAGCTTGTATGCCCTGTGGGAGTGGTCTTGAGCCTCTCTGGGGGAAGAGCTATATTTGACAGGCTCTGAAGGGGTGAAAGAGTTAGGGGAGGGGAGTTGAGGTGGATCTTCCACCAGACTCCTTCCAAACAGTTTCTTATAAACCACCATGTTGCTGTGTGCCACATCTGTCTCCCCTCTGTCCAGAGGCAGTCCCTTGTCCCTCTAAATTGGCCGTGTCTTTGTCACTCTCTGGTTTCCTGTATCTGTGATAGCATCCTTTCCATCAAATGTCCTTCCCACAGAACATCACACACACACACACCAGTGTTTCCTTCATCTCATGTTAATAGGATCAAAAGAGAAAAAGCTAACACCACACATGAAGTAGGACAGGAATATGAATTCCTTATCAGTACTAAATCTGTTTTGTGGGGCCATTTTTCCCCAAAAGAACTCAAACTAAAGAGAAGTAAAAATAGTTGTGTTAATGGGATGGCTATCAAACTTATAGCTAGCTGGAAATAGTAATCATATTTATTTTTTGAAGAGAAAGTCACAAGAATATGTAGTACTATGGAATTGATAAATATACTTATATTTTATACTAGTGGCTCCATATAGTATGGAGCATTTTATACTCAAGATGAATTATAATGCTAGAACACTATTTTAAAGTTTCTGATTTGAGGTCCTGCAAGTAGAAAATTGATCACTAAAATTTCTAAAGAGAATTTAAGAGAAAATCCCTACTGTCCAATGCTCACAAGATTTATTGTGAAATTTTTTTAGATCATTGGGAAAATAATATCTTAGGCAAATTTAGAACACTAAATATACATTTCACTTCAAGAGAGGATAGATTTTAATCTAGGAGCATTTTAACTTGGTCCCCAAGTGAGCATACCTTTTAATGTCAGATGTGTGTTTAAAAATTTCTCATTGATTTCTTGACTTTCTGCCTTTTGCTGTGGAGCTGACAGAATCACTTTAAGGTGTCCCAATAAGCCAAAGAGAACAGAAATTGGTCACTAGTCAGGACATTTTTCAAAATGGTGTTTAAAAACTGAAAATATTGCTTGGCTGTTAGCAGACTGCTTCTACTATGAACTTATTCATTTTTATAATTAATGTAATTGACATCATCATTTGAGATGGCAAAGATTAAACCTAGTTTCTGTTACATGGTAGGCAAGAGTTGTATCTCTGAGCATCAGTCCCTAACTTTTTCATTGTGATTTGGAGACAGGGTGTGCCACCGGGATTCTCAGACTGTCCTTGAACCTGTGCGGTTATTCAGGTGGGAAGTAAGATCTAGATATCACTGCCACTGCCTGAGCCTCCCAAACAGCCGGGTTGACAGGGCTGTACCAGCATTCCCCGGTAGGAGGGCTCACCTTGACAGGGTAATTTCTCTGTTCCTATCATAGCCATCTACAAAATTTTAGCTAGATTATAATACATACATAAAATACTAGAAACCTACAAATGCAAACTGGTTACTCTCATAATTTCTGTTTCTCAGGCTCATATAGAGATATCTGTATTAGACATAATTTGTATCCAATTGTGTCAACTAAGTCACATTCTTTGAAGTTCCCTTTCAAAAGTGGAATTCCAATGTAGCAGCCTCAATTTACAAACTTACTGAATTTTATTAAATTCCACTGTATATCGTTAATAAACTTATTTTGTTTCTGAACCTTGAATACTATTAGAGAGGAACTGAGAAAATGTGTTTTAAGACACTATCAAATAAAAATTCAGCTTCAATAGAAATGGCAAAAAAAACCCTATTTTCTTTACTGTGCACATAGTAAATGAGATGCAATGACACTAAGGATACTTAATTCAGTGACCTAATCAAGAAGGGCTTTTAATTCCCTTTAACAGCAGCTGAATCAGCATCATTATGATGATCCCAGTGAGATAATCATATCTGATTATGTCTTATATTTATACTTACAGCTATACACACGCACGCATGCACACACACACACACACACACACACACACACACACACACACAGAGTGAGAATTAATGAAACGAATCAGCCATTGTGTTTCTCTTGAGTGCTTTTCATTTTATTCTTTACAAATCAGCATTTTTTAGCTAATTTTCTTCCATTGGTGATATAAAGAAAAATGCAACCTCTAAATAGAATGGATATTGATGACATACAAGCAAATGTTTTGAGATTTGGTAATTTAAAAACAAATATGTTTTCAGAGAGTTTTACAGAATCAAAGCTGAAGGAGGATGAGAGTAGAATTTAAAAACTTCTCATATATAAAACATTGTTATAAATCAAGAGGGACTGGCAAATATGTCAGAGAGTTTCCGTAGTGTGACCACTGTGGCCATTCTCCTGTGACTGACCCATCATAGGTGTTGGTTGGATCTCTGTCAACTGTCCAGTACACTAAATTATTGTCTTTATTTTATTTTAGTCATGGACATGAATGATGATAAAGATAATTCTTTCAGTCCTAACTGTCAGATATATCTAAAAAAAAACCATAAGAACAAATGTCCAAGTTTTTTCTTTTGTTATTTTATAAAATAAACCAAGAAACTAGTATTATTTTCTTATATTATTTTATTGCTCTATGTATATTTATTTATATATACGCCTATATTCTTTTGTAAACATGCATGTATATGTGTGTGTGTGTGTGTGTGTGATACATTATATGAGAATGATCCCATATTATCTCATATTATCATACAGTTTATGAGAAATTATCTCTAAGGGAAAATTTTATTTATCTCAGATTGGAAGTTCCAGTCTATTTTTCCAGAAGATTCAACCATTAATCACCTTGAAGGCATGTACTCCATGACCTAAATGTTCCCCTTGTCTCCAAATTCCTAAAATTCTCCATCTTCCAATGTCATCAAGATTGGGACCAGATTTTAAAGTCACATTCTAGATCCAAACTATAATAGTTCATTTTAATCTAGAGGATTATTCTGCTGTGAAAAAGTTAAATTATAGAGAAAACCACATAAAAACAAATGGAAGCATTTCAAATAACTAATACTAATTATAAATGTATTTTGTGAGTGTGTGTGTGTGTGTGTGTGTGTGTGTGTGTGTGTGTGTGTGAAAATCCCTAAATAATGGAAGGATTTAAAGTTTTAACAGTTTTATTTCAGGTATGGAATTACTCGGCAGAAGTTTAGGTAAGAATTTAATACATACATAATACAATTTGCAGTTTTAAAGCAGACAACTTATTTCTAAATTTAAAAGCAGAACATAAGCCTTTAAAGTCATCTAATGAATAAAATCCATATCTAATACCTACAATGTGATCACAAAAATGTCCTTAACCATAAAAGATATGTGATCTCTCTGCTCTGTCAGATCCAATCCCTCAGGCTCTTCCCTAGCAATATGGTTCTCACAGACCATTCCCTCCCGGCCTCCCTCCCCTCACTCATGGCTGTGTCTGAGCCCCTATCTTGAGTAGACATCCCCTGCTCAACTACAGACCAGGCCTGGCAAAAAGAAAAGAAAGAAAGAAACAGGTAGGCTGTTCTCCACTCTTTCAGTTCCCTCAGATCCAATTCCTTGGGCCTATCCTGAGTGCTGAAACAGAATGCCACATGCAGATTTCCTTCCCAACTACCTACATCTCCTACAGACCATCCCCTCCCATACTCTCTCCCTTCACTAGTCCCTATATGCCAACCCTAACTTGAGCGGACACCCCATGTTCCACCTCAGAAAACTAGATGGGCTACCACAGACCTTCTTCAACCTTTCTGCTTCCCAAGAGCCAATCTTCTTGTCTCTATCCTAATACTAAAACAGATCACCAGCTGCAGGCCCTCCATTCTTCCCTGCGCCTGTGGATCCTGCAGACCATCCCTTCCTGACCTCCTTCCCCAACTTGTCATTGCATACCAACCTCTAAAACAGGAGACATTCCCTGTAAACACAACAGCCAAGCAGGCCAGTAAGAAAGGTAACACACAACTATCACACTGGTCATTTATGTACCTCAACATCAATGGTGTCAATTCACCAAGAAAAAGACACGGATTAACATTAACAGAATGGATGTAAAAATAAGATCCAACCTTTTGTTGCATCCTAGAAACG